AACAATGTCTGGAGAGATTCATTCTGATGAGGGAAGAAGGAAGCGGGAGAAAGTAGAAGGTGGTCATGATCAAAGTTGAGGTGGTAGTACACACCAGGAACCCTAAGGTCCTGGCGCTGTAACTCTCCAGTGGGAGCTTATCTCTTGGGCATTTTATAATACTTGTTTACAAGCAATACCAAAGATGAAGGTGAGAAAGCATTTAGTAAGTTAGAAAAGATACAGAAGACCAATGCATAGAAATAATTAAAATAATAATAATTATAATAAATAGCAAAACCTCTAAATACACAATTTAAATATTTTCAAGCTAGTCTGATAAATAAAATAAATATCAGATGAGTTTTTCTGAGGCCAAAGATTAAAATATAAGATTAAAATATAAGTGGTGCATAAGTGGTCAGATGGGTGTCTGACAACCAAATTAGATTTGTACTTTTGAATAAAACAAAAGTTTAACAGATACCTAGAATTCCTATTTGGTCTCTTCCAGACAAGCAGAATGTATAAGCATCATCTATTAGCCAATTTTAGGCAAATGCTCTACAAAGAACAAAGGATATTGTGTTTCCATCTAGCATCTGGCAACTCATACAACACTTTAACTCTTCCAGGAAAAGAAACACAGATAAGATTGGTGGCGATCCTGAGGTCAAGCAAAAAAGGAGGAAGAGTTTTCCCACTCAAATGGGCTGCCCATCAGGTTGTCTCTCGGCTTTAAAGGAAGGATTTGAAACTCCTATCTGTTGTTCTTTCATTTAAAAAAAAAATAGGACTCCAGGCTGGGTGCTGAAAGGAGCCCATTGGCAGACTACAGCTAACCTATAAGTATCATGATGACATACCAGGCTTTCTTGACCCAGCCAAGAGTGCTGAGCAATCATAGGGCTAATGAGGCAAGGGGGTTTCAGGAGTTGGTATCTTAAGTCATGGCATCCTGAGACCACAGCTAAGGGATACCTGAACTTCCTTGTAACTTACTCTACCTACAATGAAAACAATGACTTTCTTTTGTTTAAGAAGTGGTCAGTAAGGATTGATCATCTTACCCCGGTCCTCCTTCTTGTTTACCCTCTTTAGGTGTACAGATTTTAGTATGTTTATCCTATCTTATAGGTCTAATATCCACTTATAAAAGAGTATATACCATATGTTTCTTTCTGCTTCTGGGATACCTCACTCAGCTGGGTTTAGCTATTAGTATATGTACAAAATACCGTGGTTTCTATTTCATGTTTTTAGATTATAATATAATTACCTTCTGCCTTTTCCTTCCTTCCTCCAAGCACTCTCATATAAACCTCCCTGCTCTCCTTCAAACTCATGGCTTCTTCTTTTCATTAACTGTTACTGCATACAGATATGTGTGTATGTTTGTATACTTTTAAATTCCTAAATACATGGTTCTGTACATAAAGAAAAAAAAAGAAGTGGTCAGTAGGAGGTCCTCCCCTATCAGTGGTCTGGGGAAGGGACATGGGAGGAAATGAGGGAGGGAGGGATTGAGAGGGAAGATGGTGGGGGTTACAGCTGGGCTACAAAGTGAATAAATTATAATAAATAAAAATTATATCAAAAAAAGAAGTGGTCAGTAATAGTGCATTGGATCCAAGAGCTCACCTAAAGAAGATTCTAGGAAGCAATAGAAGAAAAATATTTCTGCTAAGCTTAATGAGATTTTAAAAGTGACCGACGATCAAATGATTAATAGACACTCTCTAGAGGGTGTATTCACTGGTGGCTTTCAAATTCTTTATTTCTTATTGTGTTAAAATACTTTTGCTAATTACTATGTTTGGTATACAAGGATATACTTAAGTGAAATCACTAACCAATTAGGTGAACTTTAAAGGGCTGTCTAATATTAGTTTCTCAGTTTGAAAAATAGGTCTAAACCTGTTTCATCCCTAAAGGTTTTGCTTGTGGAAAGAATAGAATAGGCCTTCAAAATAAATTCCTGTCTTCTTAGGTCAAGGCAGATGGAATCTGCTGTGTCAAAACGTTTGCTGTGGGGATGAGGCTGGCAATGGCAGCTGTTGACCACGGAGCCATACCTGTGGGATATGCACTAAGAACTGGGAAATATACTGGGCCAATATCATTTATCAGCAGCATGTGTGGCTACTGAGAGGGAGGCAGTGTTCCCCTGAAAGCCGCTCCAAAGGCGACTTTATGAGCCACAACTGCAACCGTGAGATACAGCCAGGATTTCCTAGCCTATAGGGAGGCACTCCGAGTATCTCTACCACAGAGTAAACACTGTCCACACAGTGCTCTCCACATAGTGACAAGACACAAGCTCCTAATGCTCATGATCCAGAGGCTTAGCAGTCGAACAGTGGAGACCGATGTGAGCAGATTCCTCACTTTTTCTCCTGCAATGAGTTAACAACACAGCTTAAAGCCGACAGTTTCCTCCTGTTTAAAGCAGCTCAATGAAAATACTCCAGAAACCAGGAGAGCCAGGCTCTTGTGTAGGATGCATGATCTTGAGCAAGGTCACATCTAGACCATAGTTGTGTGTTCATAAGTCAAGGGTACTTTCACAGAACCAGGGGCCTGTGGTCACAAAAAGTGGGTGATGGTCACCCCTTAATTTTCAACTTGCATAATTCTTAGTTTCCTCAAAACTAAAAGGATAATACAGTATTTTTCACTGAGTTGTTGTAAGAATTAACTTCAAATCAGTGTAGAGTAATATGTATTTCTTAGAAAAACACTGGCTCACAGCTGTTCAAAATATATTACAACCACTTGACTTGGAAAAATCGTCAGAGTAGTGCAGAGTTGATGGACTCAACCCTAATATACACAAGATTTTAAGGGAAATTCATGAAAATGTCTATTTTTAGTTGTTTTTTTAAAAACTATCACTCAGTGGGCCTCTGAAGGACTCTACCCAACAGTGTATCAAAGCAGACGCTGAGACTCATAACCAAGCTTTGGGCAGAGTTCAGGGAATCTTATAAAAGAAGGGGAAGATAGTAAGACCTGGAGAGGACGGGAGGTCCACAGGGAGAGCAATAGAACCAAAAAAATTGGGCACAGGGGTCTTTATGTGAGACTGATACTCCAACGAAGGACCATTCATAGATATAACCTAGAACCCCTGTTCAGATGTAGCCCATGGCAGCTCAGTATCCAAGTGGGTACCCTAATAAGGGGAACAGGGACCGTCTCTGACATGAACTCAGTGGCTGTCTATTTGATCACCTCCCCTTGGGGGGGGGAGCAGCCTTGCCAGGCCACAGAGGACAATACAGCTAATCCTGAGGAGACCTGATAAGCTAGGGTCAGATGGAGGGCAAGAAGGACCTCCCCTATTAGTGGACTTGGAGAGGGGAATGGGAGGAGATGACGGAGGAAGGGTGGGACTGGGAAGGATACAAAGTGAATAAACTGTAATTAATATAAATAATAAGAATAAAAACCCTACCACTCGGTATCTGGAAGGGACTGGTTCTAGGACGTGTCTCAAGATGATGCTGAGCCCCATATCCATTGATGCTCCAGTGTGAATATAATATGATACAGTATTTCTATAACCTATACACCCCTCCTGCATATCTTATATTATCTCTACATTACTTATAATACCAAATAAAACACAAATACCACATATTCATTAGGAAATTTAAAAAGAGTCTATACATGATCAATAAGCATACAAACACCACAGGCCTAACAAAGAACACATAGTCGAAACTGAGTTGGAGAGCACGAAAACTACGGATACCAAGTGCTGACCCTACTGTAATATTTTGCTCACTCATTACTGTTTGATGTTTACTAAATCACCATTCTGTGATAGCCAGGAAGAAGGAAAGAAGAAACAGAAGACTTTTGGCTGCTTGGGCTCAAACAGAGATGTACATCCTTTCCAAATTTCAGGCTTACTTTTGTGAACATTGTTGTCACTTTAAAGCTATGTCTGTTGTCCTAATGAGTAATGAACTACAAAATAAAGTTTCCTCCAAACAACCAATTTAAAACTTTTGTGTTCTTTAGAGGCATGCCAAAAGGCCATTTAATTTTGAGGAACGATAATTTTAATAATATATTACAAAGTGTAGTTTATTTTATTAATGGTTTGGTGTGTGTTGTGTGTGTGTGTGTGTGTGTGTGTGTGTGTGTGTGTGTGTGTGTGTATGTGTATGTGTATGTGTCTGTGTGTTTAGGATCCAGAAACTTTGTAAAATGGCTGATAGTAAATAGTTTAGGTTTTGTGAGTCATATTGTCTTTGTCACAATTGTACAATTCTGTCCCTGTAGAACAAAGTCAGCGACAGACAATATGAAAAAATAAATAGGAGGCTGTGTCCCAATAAAACTTTATTTACAAAAAGGAGAGAGGCTAGATTTAGCTCACAGGTTGCAGTTTGTTATCTCTTGCCTTAAAACTATGTTTCTCAGACTTTCAGAATTCATAAGATCAAAGAAAATTTAAAAATCGGAAATTGGCTCGGAATTTCTGACTTAGATTAACTAAGTAAGAACGTCCTTACAGTACATAGGAGGAAATTACACTGGGAGGGGACGTATCCCCAGGCCATGAGGAAGCTGAGGAGGAAAAACGAGGGATACATATGATCATACTTGATTGTATATATGTATGACAACCTCAAAATAAAGAAAAAAGGTAAAAACCAACTATTAGAATTTGAAATAGCAGAAACTAGAAAAGGCCTGAACCCTGAATAATTTTATCTTCATGGCAAACCTATGATAGTGCCTTTAACTGAAAATGTTTTCTTGCTTGGTGGCAGTTCATAAGGAATATATTCAGGTCAGCAGATGGACAGCATCTGTGTACTGCTTTTGGAGAACACTGTGTCATGTAGAAAGAACATAACATTTACAATGAAAAGGTTGGAGAATAACTAAGAAGAGAGAGACAGCAGAACTTGGGTGTTCATTTAAGCTATTCTGAGAAAGTGTCATTTTGTCTTGGATCACTGCTACCAACAGAAACTACATTTGGCAGAAACCTCAGGACTCACCAGTTGCCACTGTGCAGGGTACCAGGCTGGCGGGCAATTGAAGCGGTTGCATGCTTGTACTGTGCTGGGTTTAGGGTGGTGGCACAGCTCATCGGCCAGGACAACCACCTCATTCATCTCTCTGGAGAGGAGATGGGAGCAGACAACGTCTCTGGTTTGCAGGCCAACCCCACAGGTGAGGCTGCATGGGCTCCACTTGCCAATTTCCCACCTGAGAAGAATTAGGACAGAAAAGAGACTAATTGAGTTCCTGTGCAAACACTTCACAGGCAATCAAAACCTCTTACTGGGGATTGGGAAGGTTCTCCAAGACTACTGGTTAGGGATTGGGTCCTAAGCTTCAAACCCAAACATCTCCTTCATGCTTAGAGTTCATCCAGAATAAAGGTAAGAGGTTGACAGAACAGCCAATGTTTATTTACAAAATCACTAATAAAGATTGTAATCTTGTCTATTTTGTTGGAACAAGCAAACCTCATCATAACAGGTGAGGGGGTGTATTAGATGAGGGGTAAGTTGTATAATACAGGATTTAGGGCTCATATTTTCAGCAGTGGCTAGAAAGGCTAGAAGAAGCTTCTCTGCTTATTTCTCTAGCCCCCATTATATGTGATATGGAAACATTTGTGCGTCTTATTCTTTGGCTTCAAAGTGAAAGGTCATTGGCTCCAACTTCCTTTAAACTTCCATCATAGCATAGAAATGTCTCTGTCTTCTGTATAAATATCATCGCTGCCTGGGGCTGGATAATGTAACCCAAGCAGAGGCTGCAAAACAGATCAGTCTTTCTGAAGGAAAGTGAAAGGAGTGAGCGGCTCATTATCTGGACGTAGAAGTCAAATACACAGATGAGCTGAGTGCCTGAATGGCCAGTTCCAATTGGCCGTGCCTTGAAAAGTACATTTATGGTGAGCTAAGGGCCTATAAAAACAACCCCACTGCATTTCCCTGTTGTTCGGTCCTCTTAAACTCGGCAATAAGGACAAAGGTCAGTTGCCTGCGCTCTGACTCAGAAGAGCTCTCTAATGGTCAGTTTTAGGTCTTCTGGTCCCAAATTGAGACACAAGATTGTATAATTGGTTGCCAGCCCTGGAAAGCACAGTGGGGCATCCTTCAGTAGCTCGACTTTAGGCTGTCTAGGTTTTTCAGTGAGCCCAGAAAATGGTAAGGTTTCTTTAGCTTTGATGATTTTCATCAGACTGTGACACTGGGTAGAAGTTCTCATCTTTTCTTGCTACTCTAGCCTCCCACCCCCACTCCGCCCCCACCCCATCTATAATGAGCAGTAAATACAATCAACCCCTTTGTTATTTCCATTTATTCCTCATGGCCCTCTACTACCATCTTTATGAAAACTGAACCTAGGTTCTGGAATATGTTTTGCTCTTTCTTCCTGTTTCAAAATACCCTTTATTTCTATTACATATGCACTTATATCTGCTACAGGAACGGGTCATCATTTTTTCTCATCTGGATTACAGTTTCCTGCCTTTCAAGTTACAGTGTCTATTGTCTCGGTTAGAGCCTGTGTTGGAGTGTGGTTTATTCCACTCACAGAATCCAAAGGAGCTACATCTAGGTGGTTCATGAAAGAGCTAATAAATTCCTGATAAATTGGCAGAAGGAAAGAGTTTACCATTAGAGAGGGCATGTAAGCCTATCTTACTAAGTTACCTACAGAAAGATAGGTTTCATTGATTTTGCTCATTTTATAGTTGAAGGAATTTGAGAACTGAAGTGCCTTAAGTACCCAAGTACCTATAATTAAGTAGTGAATCCAGGGCTCAAACCTACATGGCTATATCTGACACCTAAGCCTTTGTATTTCCTATTGTGTGTAATGTTGTCTCCAGGAAATATCTCAAAAGTCTGCCGTAACCATTCACAAAAATTTCAATGGATAGAAGAGGCTGGTGGAACACATTTCTTACGGATTCCTGTGTAAATGTCTATATTTATGGACCTCAAGCACAGTCAAGTCCAAGCTTTAAAACACATGGGTTTGAGATAAGTGTGTAGAGCCTTTACCACCCTTTCCTTCCAAGTTGGATTCTCCAGTGAGTTTGAGGTTTCCCTCCCCTGAGTAGAATGAGACAGAAGTGATACCATGTGACTTTAGGGGCACGATTATGAAGGGTGTGGGCTTTACTTTTGCTCTGATATCTTACTTGTGCTGAGGAAGGAAGCCGCCATGTCATGAGCTCAATCTGGAGGAAGAATCCTGCAGCTGAAGAACCACAGCATTCTGACACCACCCCCTTGACACGCTTCTGTGGGAAGCACCTTATAAACACATGACCCAGTCCCAGGCCAGGCCAGACCCACCTTTGCAGGATGCTTCCAAATTCCTTTCTCAAGTAGCAACCAGAGATGACAAATATTTAGTCTTGTAAGCTTCTTGATCCGGGGTGCATTTGTTAAGCAGCAAAAGATAATTATATACAAATATCCATCCCTCCCCAATGTAACCTATGCATTCATAGGGACACACACACACACACACACACACACACACACACACACACACAAAAGAACTTTCATAGAAGCACCATGCACAATAGTGCAGAGCAAGAAACACTTAAATATTGATCCGCAGGTAAATAAATAAAAATGTAGGATACAGTCATAAAACAGTGGCAACGAATTGTTGCAATGAATTGTTGAGTCTCACAAACATGGAAGTGAGTGACTGAGGCCACAAGCACAAAGCTTCATACTGTTGCTTTACTAGTCAGGAAGGTAGTTAGCATTGGTGGGTAGAACCAGAAGGGGAATATGTGGGTCTTCTGGATGGGGGAGCAATCTCAGAGCTGGGGGTGGCTACACCTTCTGAAAAGGGTCACTGGATCGGGGTACACACTTGGGATTTGCGCACACTTTCCTGCGTGTGTTCAGAAAAGGTGTTTCCCTCATTTCATCTTCAAGTGAAGTGCTCGAGCATGGATGTAAAGCAGAACTCACTCTCCACATGACTCATAAAGAAGCCACCTCTGTAGTCGATGCTGTCCCAAGGTTAAAGCTTGTCAGGGCTAGGCTTTGTGCCCTCATCCCCTGCTCTTGCTTCATTCCTGGCAGAATCTCAGTAACTAGGTCCTTGAAATAGAGACATTTTGGCAGCTACAAGGCCAGTTGACTACTGTCAGAGAAACTTTGCCTACCCTAATAAAGCAAATCATACATTCTCCAGGAAGGGGTCAGCAGCAGCCGTCTCTGTAGTAAGCACTTGGCTGATTCTGGGTCAAGAATAATTTAATCAACTTTGGCCAAAGGATGGGAGGAAGGAGACATTCTCCTCAGCTCCTGTACTATAAAGAGACTGCAACTGTGGGCTGCAGATCTGGCAGGTTGCTGATAACATCTGACCCTTATGCCTTTGACCACTTCCAAGAGAGGTGCTGCTCCAGTGGAAGTCAGCTGGGGCAAGATTAGCCATGGCTGAGCATGTGAGAACACTGCTAGGTCTTCGTTGGGGTGCTGAGTCCAGCATGACATAAACACAGTTTTGAAAAGATCTGAGGTGTGCTCTGGACATATGGGCCTCCCCCCCTTCTTGGGTAAATTTGCTCATCTATTTCTCTCCATTTACGATGTCACTTCTTCCACTGAGTGAAATTCTCCATCCATATGGTTTCTTAGTACTTTCTTCTCTGGAGGGTCAACCTACTTATAATATCACTACCTCAACTCAGTTGCTGTCTTGAATAGTGCATGTGGCTGTGTCTAATTTGTTTTGCCAGTGGTTCTACATGGGAGTGCATCTAAAAGCTAATTGGAGTTATAGCCCACAGTATCACAGAGTATGACGTTACATGGAAAAGGCTCGTTGCAGACGTAATTACTTCAGATTGTTCACACTAGATGCATTAGTAACTTCTCTCATTGCCATTACTAAATACCTGAGAGGAATGAGTTAAGCAAGGAGAGGTTTGTTTTGGCTCACTGTTTTATTTTGGCTTTTGGTGGGGAAGACATGCTGGAGTTCATGACACTGTGAGCTTGCAGCCGGGGATGCCTTTCAGTCTCAGCTGCAGACCAGAGGCAGACAGCTGAGACCAGAAGTGAGACTGTAATCTTCAAGGCACACCTCTAGTGGCCTTATGTTTGGAAGTTCTATAACCTAAAATAACACCACTCACTGGGAACCACCTGAGTTTGCGGGGAGCACATCACAGTAAAACTTGGTGTATAGAAGTTTCCTTCCAGGTTATAGCCTTTCTGGGAAGGATGTGTCTTTAAGACATGGGCTGTCAAAGGTAAGGGGCAGAGGGTGAATGCAGCCAGTAGGGAGCAGCAGGAAATGTTAAGACAGTATGTTTACAGTGAGGGAAGTTGCTTAGGACAAGAAGTAAACAATTCAAAACAGCTTCAGGAAGGAAGTCCCTGAAGCTGACTAGATTTACTATGCCTCTCCCTCCCCAAGGATACATAAGCAGTAAAAACTGATAAGTGTTACTCTTCGACAAGCCAAGTTGCAAAGAAGACTCTCAAACAAATCTCAATGGCAAGAAGCAGCAGAAACCAGCCGAACTGCATAGAAGAAAAAGAGCCGCTGAGCCGTGTGACAGAGGCTCAGACTACATGGAAAGGCTACTCTCCAACTTGTTAAGCTGCCTGCTCTCTGTGCTGTGGGCTCCAGGTTTCTAGCTTTTGCCTGATGTCACCCATGCGGGGGTGGACATTGGTGATGCAGCTGTCTCAGTAATTTCTGCTCCCATAAATAACCTCACATTCATATTCCTGTAAGTAACTCAAATAAAACTCATTGATTCACTAAATTGGACTTTAATGGCATCTGCGCTTCTATTGTCAGCTTCCTATATGTGTGAGTAGATGTTTGTTCACATTCGCCAGGGACAATGTCTCACACAAAAACCATTGCACGAGAGCAGGGTGCACATCTATCCAACATCATTGCATTTTTATAAGAAAGAGGGGGACACATGGAGAAAATTCCAGAGGTGGAGAAAGGAACGACGAAGCTGCAAGCAAACAGTGCCATGAACTGCTGGCAAACCCTGGAAGCTAGACACGTGAAGCCTGGCACTTTCATTTACACTCGAGTTTAGCTTCCAAACGGAGGCAATGCATTCCTGCTGCTTTAAGTCTCTTATGTTGTCATACTTGGTTACCACAGTTCTAGGAAACCAGATCCCTGTAACCTTTGCACCTAGCATGGTGCCTAGAACGAAGCAGGTGCCCGGGAAGTATGCG